TTACCTCCTCCCAGTGTCCATCCCTTCATACTCTTCGAGAGGCCCATTTTCTGCCAACCCTGTATATGATCTTGTATACACTCTCCATTTAGTACTTTTTTAATGTTGAGAAATGTGAGTTCCTCCTATTTTGGTTTTGAAAGACTTCATTGGCTGTTTGGGACCCCTTGGAATTTTAACTTCTCTGACTAATGTTTTATAGCTTTCGGTGTACCTGTTTTGCAGAGCTTTTGTTTTCATTCATATATAAGCATCTCATACTTTTTTTTTTTTTTTTCATTATTTTAAGAATTTATTTTACATTCAATGTTATGTGTACATTTAGTTTCACTCCCCATTTAGCATGCACAACCCTAACCCAATCTCCTCCCCTCCTTGCCCAGTAACCTCCCCGCTCCCGGTAACCCGCACAGTTGTATACTCCTGTTTGTTGTGCATTACCTCCATGTGAATGTTGCTCCTCTGGTGCCCCATGGTCTATTCATCCAAGGGATGTATTTTCATAGAGTATGTGGGTGCATCTCCCTGGACTGAGTGGTCTGCATGTATATTTTTTTAACTATTGGGTTGAGTGCCAGCCCCTGGGAGTGAGTTTTATTCTAGGTGCAGAATGTATTCGATGGCCATAGTATTGGGGGTCTCACCAGACTCCGTTCGACCAGTTATTCTGGTCATTATTGAGTTTTTGGACTTTGTTTCACATTTTTCTTCCCACTCTGTCTAGGATCTCCGGATTTGATCCTTTCCCGAGTGGTTGGCATTGGCTGGGCACCATCTAGTTCTCCTGGTCTCAAGGGCCATCATGTCCTAGGGCTGACTATCTTCACTTCTGACCCTAGGAGACCATTAGGTGCATCTTAGATGGCTGCTTGAAAGCTTGAAAGCTTTTAAGACCCCAGTTGCTATTCACCAATGTGGGGTGAGGAACAAGGATTTTATGTATTCTGTTGTGCCAACTGAGTCTGGTGTTCCCCAGAACTATGGTCCTGAGATAGTAGATCCATTGAATCTCTCTCCCACAGTGTCTGTGTGTCTGTGAGGGATTTCTCTGTGTCTTTCTTCTATTGTTTCTGTAGGGATTTCAGGTATTTTGTATCACTGGTGTCTGTGCAAGATTAGCCTGTGCTGAATCTGTCCTTGGTCTAGAGTATACTCCTGTTCACTGACCCCTATCTGGCCTTCTCTGGTGTTTATATGTTTATCTGTAGCCTGGTGTTTGGT